GAACAATTTTCCCTCCTCACCCAATTCAGTAGCCTCCTCTCCTATGAGTCATAGGACATGGGGGAACTCAAGGACAACTTCACACTCAACCTCTTGGGCATCACAAGGCAAAAGGCTGTTCTTCTAGCATTTGATTTCTTCCCCCTCCCCGCCAAGGATCCCACCATGGACTCCTTTTCTGTTCCTGCAACATGCATGATTCTCAAAATTGGCCATTCATAAAGCTTTATTTTAAAACATCTCTGATTTGCATTGCCCTGCACTGTGCTCTCCTTATTGCCCTGGTATCTGGCTGCTCAAAACCTCTGGCTAGACTCTCTGCCTCAGCCACCACTCTTCCAAATACCTTTCCCCCTTGCTCTCTCAAACATTATGGAGCACACAGCAGGCTACCACCATAAAGGGAATGCTGTGTCCACTGAGGTCTCACCTAGGCAGTAGGTTCCTAATGCTTCCCTTTAAATGTTCAAAAAGCACATTCCACCACCATTCTGTACTTACACAGCCTGTAGCTGAACTGCTCCTTACTGTGGTCCATGCTGCCCATGTACAGCTTCATGAGCCATGAGATAAAGGTGTATGCTGGGTTGCCAAGGATCACTGTTTGGCATCTACACCTCTCCAATTCTAATTTTCTGACATGAGAAGAAAGTTCAAGTGGGCAGCTTTCTGCAGAGGCAGGCGTTCCTAAGGACACACATGTCATGTGCCTTTCCTGACAATTCCATGTTGATGTCAGTGAAATGGCCCTTGTGATCCACTAGTGCCTGCAGCACCATTGAGAGGTACCCCTTGGGGCAGGAGCCCCCAGCCTCCCTACATTCTGGGCCCCCCTTATCCATCCTGTGTCCCAAGTCCACTTTGGCTCATGGCAGGGCTTGAGCTCTTTCCTACTGGCTCCCAAGGTGGGTGCCATCTCCACTGTGGTGCTGGAGGAGCCCCACAGCCTCCCTACTGTCATGGCCCATCTTATCTGTGATATGTCCTAAGGGTGCCAGGTCCATGGTAATTGAGGGTGGGGCTTGAACCCTTGACCTTTGGCTCCCAAGGTGGGTACATTAGCCACTGGAGGAGCCCCCTACCTGCTGTACCTTCAGGGCCCCCCTTATCCATCTTATGTCCCTAGGGTGCTAGGTCCACATTGGTTGAGGGCATAGCTCAAATCCTTGACCTCTGGCTCCTTGGCAAGGTGATCAGGTGTCAAGATGAGGCTGTGCGTTCTGCCTGTTGCTCCACCACAGTTAGGGAACCCCATCACGGCAAAGCCATTCACAATGGTATCCATGTTTCCCAGAGTCCCATCTTTCTCCATAGCAGGATGGTATTGATCGCCTTGGCTACTTGTATAATGACAGCCCCCACTGCAGATTTCCCCACTCCAAATTGATTCCCAACTGATTGGTAGCTGTTTGAAGTTGCAAGCTCCCACAGGGCAATTGCCACGCATCAGATCGGGTCTCATGCAGAAGTTCCTGCACTTCAGGGCAGGGGAAAAGAATTCACAAAGCCCCGTGAAAGTGGCCTTGCACTGCTGATCATCCCATACCCACAGCTCTATGCAGTCCCACCTGTCTGTGCTGATCTGATGGCACCAGAACCAGTGTTTCACTGTTTCCAGGGGATCTAATGCCAGTGGCGTTTCCAGTTCACTCAACTCAAGGGCTTGCATGAACAGATTCATCCTCTTTGTGGAGCCATGCATATGCTCTCAACATACTCCACTAGTAGGCGCTCCAAGGTAAACATCATCATCACATGCTTTAATGCACAACAGGATCCCTGCTCGCACTGCTATGGCATCTTTGTAGGTAACCAGGGCCAAAAAGGGTGCAAAAGGACTGTTTCCCATTGATCCCAAGCAAGGTGGGGGGCGAGGAGGCAGCAGATGAGCATATTATGGGACACTGATTACATGAATCCAGAAACACCCTCTGCACAGTTTTGGTCCCAATGCACACTGGGGGCATAACCCAGAATGCCAAGTGGTGCAGGCACTGTGGGATAGTGCAGTGCTCTCAAAGTTGATGGCAGTCTCCTATTGCGGGTGTGCTATTTTGAACTAGGCTGAATTTTCGCCATAGAGGGGACATGGACCTTTGACTTTACAAAGGCGGGCGGTAAGAAATTGACCTTAATAAATTTGACCTTGTCTCACTAATGCAAATGCATGTTTCTCTTTTGAAGTTATCCACTCCATTCTTTGAATGTCTTAATATTCATATGCCTTAATATTCATATCATATCCTATTTTAGGATATTTATGGTCTTTATATTCATAGAGATAATAAGGTGCAGATCTTACCTTCAGTCTACACCATGTAGCTCCATTGTCTTTCCCATTTTTCACTTAATCTTTTTCCTATTTGTCACAAACTGCTTTTGATTAGCTCCAATGCTGTTTGATTAATTTTTTCTGTGGTACAAAGGTTCCTGAAAGCCTGCAAAAGTCAAGGTATTTAAAAATAATAACGGGGGCGGTAATGCTTTTTTCCATAACAAGTGTCCCTTGAGCATGTACTGTACATTCACCAACATTTCTTAGACCTCTTGCTTTAGTAATTTCCATTAGTATATTTCATGAGCCCATGTAGCCTTCCTGCACTTTGTTTACTAGTGTGTATGGGGGTGGATAGAACAATGTTGCTGATTGCCATGGCAGCATAGTGCGTATCGGCAGCTATCATTAATTCTTAATGGAAGGGTTCTGGCCAAGAGTAAAAGAAGCCAACTTAATCTTTAATGTAAATTGATTTTAAAATAGACATTGCAAAAAGAGACAAATTGCAATGAGTGTTAAGCTTGTGAATCTCCTGCATGGCAAGAACATCTTAGAAGTTCCAATTTTAGCCCTTTGTGATTTATTTCACAATAATGTTATGCATATCTCCTGTCAGATGGGTGTGCTGAATGCTAGAATCAGTGGTCCTTCATGTAGTAATGTATCTTGACAATAAAATGTAGGTGGCTCTTTATGAATGTCACATGTTACTGGATTAATTTTAGAGGGAAAGACCAAAACATTTCTGACTGCATTATGAAAAGTGGAGAGACATTCACCAAGGATAATTAAATAGTTTGTCTTCAGAGACCCCATATGGTGTGAACAGACACTATATGAAATCGCTAACACTGCCTTGCCTATGATTATCTACTCTGGCAATCTTTCTTGTGATTCATTTTCTATGCTTGTTTAGTCTAAAGCTTCCTCTGGGTAGAGATTGTCTGCTGTACCCAATTTATGGATTGTGGGTGGCTATCATGGTTATTGTTTAAGAATTAATTGTTTGTAACATACATATCCTCCAAAAAGAAAAGGGATGAGTAGTTCTTAAACCATATTCAGTGTTCAGCTCCCAAGCATGACTAATATAAGCTGACATCTTTTTTAAAAAAGCAAGGTGGAGACCAGTCAATTCCCATTAGGTCTGGGAATTAAACCTTTTCTCCATTTTGACTGCTCACAGAGGCTTCAAGGCTTTCTAGCACTGCATAGTAATTCTTCTCTTTTTCAGTCCATGAATTCAGTTCTCCACTTTGCTACACTGGTTTAAAACTGATGGAGCAGAAAATCGGGTCCTTTTTATTTTTATACTACAGAACAGTATTTCACTTCAATCCATTGTACAATGCTACAAGAAAAAAATCGTAGTTTCATTTTTTTTAAAGATAAATAAGCTGTACTACCTTAGGGTCTGACTCTGTAAATCCTTGCACATGTGGGTTTTGTTCATGGGAGAAGTCCCACTGAACTATTCACGTAGTTGTGTATAAGTGATTTTCAGGATTATGCCCCACTCAGCACTTATGCATGTGCATAACTTTAAACCCCCAATGGGACTTATGCCCCTTCTTCAATTTAAAGGCATGTTTGAATGCTTTGCTGAATAAGAAAGGTTTGCTGAGCCAGAGCCTAAAAAGGTATTTAATAAAACCAAAGTTGTAATCAAGGAACTCTGCCATAGTTTCAGCTTCCCCATAACTAAAGAAGGGTCTCACAGGCAGAGATGCCATTTGTAATAGTTACTTGCACAGAAAGTCTTCACTGATGATATAGAACAGCCTGGGATATGAACGGCAGCACAGCAGTGGATGTACAGGAAAGGCTTTTACAGTTATTGTTAGGTACAGCTGCTGATTATTTTAAAGCAGAGGTAGCTGGTCACAGGTATGTGTAGGAGCTGAGGGAAGGATTGGGTAGGCCTCCTATTGATAGGAAAAGGAAAGGAAAATCGCAGGCCCTTTTGGAAACATACTACTAGTCCGAACGCCAATGAAAAGAGTACATGTGTGCATAAAAAAAGGGAGGGTGTTCATACATGCACATTAAAGCTGCTTTTTTGCTCAACTTGAGGATCAGCATTTGTGAAGAAATCATGTAGAGTGCTAAAAAATCATAGCTCTGACTCTACCACATGGACTCTTACAACAACTTTAAGAGTCTTCTGCTTTTCTGATGGCTCGAGACAAGTAACTTCATTTCCTGTGGCTCAGGCAAGAAACTGAAGAAAAAAATGTGTATGTATGTGAGCAGCGCAGAAGTCAGCCGAGCACCACGGCGGGAGGCAAAGGGGGCGGGATGCTGACAGACTGTGGCACTCAGCTGACTTCTGTGCCACTCAGCCGGGCCACCGTGGGGGGGCAAGCGGCGCAAGCAGCCATTTGGGCCCCGCGCTCCCTATGCAGCACCCTCGTGCTGCATGGGGAGCGCGGACACCAAACGGCCGGTTGCATCGCTTACTTCCCTGCAGCAGCCTGGCTGAGTGGCGCAGAAGTCAGCCGAGCACCACGGCGGGAGGCAACAGTGCTGCCTAGAGGCAACAGCCAGTGTTTCAGCGTTAGTCACAGACTTTGGGCTACTATATATATGATGAAAGAGAGTGATTAAAATATCTATCCCATTGCATTGGAGCTTTCATTTTAAGGAAACTGACTCTATCTAAGTGTAATAGATGAAACTGAATGTCACAGTAATGATGAATAACATGTATGTATTTCGCTAGACTAAGGTGAATTGGGATGGAGATAAACTTCTTTGCATACAAAAAGGAGAAAAAGAAGGCCGTGGTTGGACCCAGTGGATCGAAGGAGATGAAATGCATCTGGTATGGTTATGGAACATGTTTTAAATGTCATAATTTTTTCTATTATTTATTCAAATGGATGAAAGTAATGGCACGCAGCTTGCTGCAAATTATCTTGGCTTACTGTGGAGTAATTAAACATTGGTGTTGCCTTTGACTTGCTTCTAACATCATAATTTCATGTAGTGCCATTATTCTCTCATGGCCCTTCTGAAAAGAGCAATGTTCTAAATTCAGGCAGTCTTTGTGTTAACTGTCTGTTCCCTGATATATCAATTTAAATTGTGTACAGAGGAAGACAGGTAACAGAAATATCTTTCATACATTCAGGGTATGTCCACAGTGCAGAGTTTTTTTGGAAAAATGGCTGTTTTTCTGAAAAAACTTCACTTACGTCCACACTGCAATTGTGTTCTTTCGAAAAAAATCAAACGAACAGAGGGGGTTTTCCAACATTGGTAAACCTCTTTCTATGAGGAAGAAGCTTTTTTCCAAAAGCGCTCTTTTGGAAAAAGGTGTGTGTGGACAAGGAAGAGGGAGTTCTTTTGAAAGAAGAGGAAAGAGGAAAAAGCACAGGTGCCCTGTGGCCGCTCTGTCCGTAGTAATCACAGCTGAAATGCGAGATAGCATCCAGACTGAATGGACGCTATCTTTCAAAAAAACAGATTGCTTTTTTTATGTACTTTTGCTGTGTAGATGCTCTCTTTCAGAAGATCTCTTCTGGAAAAGCTTCTTCCAAAAGAAGCCTGCAGTCTAGACATAGCCTCAGTGATGTAAACAGGATGGGAACTGATGAAATTCTGTATCCAAGAACATATGATATAGGGAGAAACAAAATTGTTCTTTCTTTTTAAATGTGGGCCAGAATGAATTTTGGCTTAGAAAAACAAAGAGGGCAGTTTTTTAAATGGCATGTTCCTTCTGACTGTGGTCTCAATATTTTCTAGTTAACAGAAACTAATGCAAGTTTATAATAGTTTATCCCTTTTTTCTGGATAGAGGTTCATAACATCCTCCTAGAGACTCACCTTTTACACAAATGTGGTAAAAGGTGTTTTTCCCACGGAAGGAAGCAAATCAGATCACTAGTCCCACTTGCCATTCCATTCCCTCTGTACTTAGGAATCTTCTGTTTAGAATCCTGTCTCCAGCTCAGTAGCACAATGCCCTCAGATTCCTGTAACAGCAGCCAGGGCCAACTAAATACTGCTGTGCATAGGGGTTTCTGAGGGAGGTTGGGAGGGAAA